TCAGTCAGCTCTGAGTGGTAACTCTCTGGCTCCTGCATGTGAACTGCTGACTTGAACTGAACTCAACTGGAACTAACTGGCAAACTGCCTGAGAACGCTTGCTTATATGGACTTCGAACAAAAACCGGTGCAGTGTTAGACACAGCCTGGGGTTTTCGGTAAATACCTGATTTCCAACAAGGGTCTCTCTGTTGTCTGGCTAGAAAAATTAATTACCTACTATTTTTGGAAAATTAATTATTTCCTATTTTTGCGGGGGATCCCTTCGTCCATGTGGAGAGGTTGCAGTATAGCTATCCTCCTGAACTCCCTCCTCCTTCTTTTGGTACCTCACACCAATTCCTTTCGGTGGGCATTAGTAACTTCTCTGTCTTTCTTACTATTTTACCTCCACCTATCACCACTGCTACCACACAACTAATAGCATCTCAGTCATACTGGTGTGGCTAAGCTTGCTTCATTAATTAACTCTTTGACACAATTGCTTATTCAGGATTTCTCAGTCAGAATTATTAACTGGAACTTTGTTTACGCAATTCCCTTTTTACCTGCCAAAATTCTTACAATTAACACATGGCCCTCTCACCTGGTGTACTTAATATCTTATGCATTTTTGAACAGTATCTTCATCGATTCTGGTTATTTTGTGTTTTCCTACCCAGCACTTTTAAGCAACCAGCATTAATCAATTGTCAAAGATCGTCACATGGCCTTTCTGTGAAATTATCGTTGACACAATTCTTCAGTTTCTTGAGAAAAATAGATTTTTTTTTTTGGAAAATAAAATAAAATCATTTTTATGCTGAATAGTATACTCTTCGGATTAATGTTTAACCATTCTTTTCTGTTTTCAGCATTTTCCCATTCAATTTTTATGGTTAATAAGTTAATTAATTACCATAGCTAAATAGTGTCACATCTGTACACCTGTTCAAAAGACCAGTGTTGAGTGTGAACCAGTTGATAGATGAACTTATCTCCTCCTATTAGTGGAGGAGTGAAAAAAATAGTGAATAAAATGAACCAGAAACCCAGTTCTAAACAGGAAGTAAGGGACAAACCTCTCCTCTTGTTCAAAAGACCGTGGAGGTGTGTGAACTGGACAATAGGTGAACTTATCTATTGAGGAGAAATCAACTGCAAGACTCTGATTATCTTTGGTTTAGTGAAATACATCCCAAAAACAAAATATCCATACTGTTGACTCTTGTTTATTTGCTTTTTGATAGATTTTAGTTTCTTTCTGAATGAATGAGTAGTATAATTAACAACTTGGAGAGAGAAATCAGCAAGATAAGTTCAAATTATGGCTGAGTACTTATATTCACTTTGGCACAAATATCCTTGGAAATCCATCTCTTCCCCCTCTAGCATTGGGTTAAATAGTAAGGCTGACTGGGCTCTTTGATAAACAATTTACAAGAAGGAAAACTAAAGGATGTGTTCCATCAGCCTGTCTTGCCCCAGACATACAAACTGTTACTATGCCTACAGTACATGTAGTGCTCCTACAATCTTCAGGGATACAGGAATTATAATGATTATTCTTTCTACTTTTATTGCCAACAGCCCCATTTCAGCAAGGTAGGGAACAGCATTTGTGGGGTGGGAATGTCAGTATGTCTAAGAGTAAGAATTTGTTCCCTAAAATTAGTTCACACTATTTTCACTGTGAATGGAGGAAAGTGTTTTTTGGATGAAGGCAATTCCTACCCTACCTTCAACCCATCCCCACCCACATGGCATGCCTGGTTACCCACAACAGTAAATAGAGGAAAGCAGTAACTTTGACAGATCTTAGGAAACAGATGGAAAAGAAGTCATAAAGAAGAAAGTATTACTGAGAGAAACACATAAAAGAAATTTATAGAGTCATGATTGATCAAATCCTGAAAGGGCATTTGCTCAAAGACAGAGCAAGAATGGGAGAGTCTTAGGAGTGTTCTTTAAATATGTTATTAATTAAAAAGAACTTTTAATCCTATATATGACAGTATAAATTGAATTGTCCTCAATTATAAAATAATTTTTTATTTCTAACTTGATGCGTATAAAATACATGAAACTTGCAGGCTGTAAATATCTATAAGGCAAGAAAATTTGTAAATAACTCTTCTGTGTATTCTTGTTAGTGTTAAGAAAGTGTCACGTGTTAAAAGTGATTGCATATATTATAACTAGGCTAACCTGTTTTCCTAAATTAAATATATCTGATGATAAAGTTCATTAAGACTATAATACAAAAATCATCTTGTTATATTATGAAGAATAGATAAGAAAAGAGAAAAGATAAGAATAGAAAAGAAAGCTTATACAAAAAATAAAATAACTGAAAATCTTATTTATTACTCATCTAAAACTATTTCCAGTATTGTAAAAGATAGACAGAAATTTAGTACAAATCAACATTGACTCTAAAAACCACAGACAAGTGAAATATTTGTGTGTTACTCAATGAATAAAAATTATAATTACAGGCCCAGCGACTCTTTTTGCGATGTCAGGTTAGTGACATTTAAAAATATACAAAAAATAACAGTGAAAAGTTCACCAAAGAGAAATGAAATAATGCTAACATTGACCCTACAGCATTAAGCCATATAGAGTAGGTCTACTATACATAAAAAAATATTGAGAGAAAAGATTGCAATATTTGTACATTTCACTTTCAGATGTAATTATTTTTCTCAAAGGCATAAGGGTATGTTTGTTCATATCTCATCTTCTTTATTCCTTCCTATCTATCTATCTATCTATCTATCTATCTCATTCTGTTCATTATCTATCTATATATATATATTTCAATCTGTTCATTATTATCTATCTATCTATCTATCTATCTATCACAGCCTGTTCATTATATATCTATCTATCGCAATCTGCTAATTATCTATCTATTTATCTCAGTTTGTTCATATATATCTATCTATCTATCTATCTATCTATCTATCTCAATCTGTTCCTATTTACTCCTCATATTTTAACACAAATATAAGGATCAAAGTTTAGGTTCAATGTGTTATATAAAATAAAGAAAAATGAACCTGAAATGTGGATTTTCAACTGACAAATGATTATCCTGTTCCAAAATCTTAATTGTTCAATAAAATTTTCAAGTTACAATAATAGAATACATGAAGATGATAGCAGTTAATTGGATTAAGGAATTGGTTGAAGCCCATAAAAACATACTAAAATGTAGTTCTTAATTTCATATAGACTACTAATGATGTTCACTCCTAAAAGTTGTTTGGAGATAAATCAATTGATCAAACTCATAGCTTTTCTTTTAAAGATTACAAAAAATTAGTATGGTAAATAAATATTGGCAAAGTTTAAAATAATATAAACAAAAGTATAATTTTATTTTTAACTCTGTTATTAATATATACTCCTTCTGCAATTTTTATTGCTCTAAATGCTATTTTTAAAATTTTAATAAAATCCAAGCATATGAAACTGGATGTATGCATTCTCTTTTTTCTCAAGAATTGAAAACAAAATTATTAAACACTATTTATTTTATCAAATTGTTTATTTACAAGGATAAGTTTATATTTACATGTTTATAAAAATATGTGAACCAACAATCATGCAATATTTATTATTTAACATTTTTTTATAAAGAAACAAATATGAAAACAATTCTTTTATTCATAAATTTATATAAATGTAAACAAGAGAACAAGAAAATTTCAATAAACACATAACAATGAGTAACTATTTACATTGTTCAGAGTGTTATCCTCATCTTTATTGTCATATTCATATTTTAGCCATTGTACACTCCAGCCATCTTCAGGTGATATACATTGGAATTTTGAACTAAACCCTTTATTTAGTGCACAGGTGTAGATTGTTCTAGTTCCACATGCCATACCTTTTCTGGATATCTCAGTTTCAGTTATTTCCCTTTAGTAACTCAATTCTCCAAGGTTTGTTCACCTCCACTGTGGCCAGGTATTGAACTCCTGACTCTTTGAGTCAAGTCACTTTTGGATTAATTCAACCAAGGCTTTTATCTACTGGGCCATGTGTCCTTGGGGACAGACCGAACAATGTAAATAGTGTAGATAGTTACAATACCTCATCTCAGAAATATAGACAGATGAGTAACTAATTAAAAATTTTGAAAAAACCTATTTTCTGGTATTTCTTTCATTTGCTCTCATTACATAAATTCACTAAAATAGTTTGTGAGCATCTGAAGTTATACCTTCTTTCTTCAAGAAATAACGACAAAAATACTATTTATTTATTAGACTGTTTATTGACAAGAATAGTGTTTAATACTTTTGTTGTCATTTTTAAGGAAAAAGGAAAATGCATAAATCCAGTTTCATATGTTTGGGTTTTATTAAAATTCTAAAAAGCAGCTTTTTAAAATAATAAAAATTGACAAGGCAGTATACCGTAATAGCAGTTTCAAGAGAAAAAACATCATTTTGGCACACTGTTTTTTTGCAAGTATGATTTTTAAACATTGCCTAAATATTATTTTAAAATATTTATTTTAAATCAAGCCGAGCTTCTCAACTTGACGGTCGAACTCTCTGCTTTTGAGCAGAAAGGAACCCGGACGAGGTTCCGCCAAAGGGCAGAGTCTCGTTCGGGGAGAATGACCAACCCGATCTCGTTTATACGGGTTATACGGGCATTTTTTGGCTGAGCCTACAGGCTCGGGAAATCCACGATAAACTCGGCCTTGTGCCACATGCAACCCTCGTGGGGGGGTGGCTAGATACCATATTATTTTAAAATACCAAACAAGATGATGATTGAAATACATGCATAAAACTTTATTAAAATAATTTGTAAATATGTATTTATAAAAACCTAAGAAATGTTGAACAACAAAAGAACATTTAGGAATTCAAGAATTTAAAAAAAATTTACAAATACAACATAAAAATTCCAAAGACATTGCAAGCAAGAATAAAATCTTTTATTTTTTTAATATTCATTAGAAAGTGTGACATTGATGTTGAAGAGTATTATTATTACTCTTGTTGTTCTTTGCAGTTATCACATTTTAAAAGTCCATTCTCATCACAATAAACACATCGAAGCTCAGCAAATTCTTCTGTAAAATTATTCCGATGTATAGAACGCTTACTTCCATGGCAAACAGAACATGGTACATATTGATAACCTCCACATTTTTTACAATATGAATTAATATTTATTTTCTGAAAAGAGAAAAAGTATAAAATGAAAACATCTGAAATTTATTTGTAATTAAAGATTCTTATATTATCATCCTCATTTTTATTAAATATTACTATTATTATTATTGTCTAATAATAATTATTATTATTATTATTATTATTATTATATACTAGCTAGAATCTGTCGCTCTACAAAAAATTTTAATCATGTGCCTTTTCATTGCTAGCTTTCTTTGAAATTTTCACACACAGTTTTTTCCCTAATATATACACACACACACACACATACATATATATATATATATATATATATATATATATATATATATATATATATCCAAGTGTATGATTGGTGTATACGGAATAAATTCCAATCACCAACAATTACTATTCTTAAAAGAGTGCTCAATACAGAGTAGAGCGAATATAATTATTTATTTAAAAATTATAACATAAATATGTTATAAAATCACTACAAAAATAGCCATTTTGCTTCAACACCTTTGGTGCCTTATCAAGTGATGATGTTGAATGTAGATTGTAGAATGCAGGTTTTAAAAGGTTCAAATTAATTAACCACCCCTCGTAAGGGGAAACGCTGTCACATGAGCTGAAATGACCAATCAAAATACAAGTATACGAGAATTCAAAAAACTTGACAATGAAGTAAAGTTATAATAATTATTAAATGCTTTAAAGTTGGGTTTATAATAAAATAGAATTTATTCTAACTAATAAGTATTAAATTGTACGATAAAATTTGAAATTAAAATTAAAAACTACCCATTTCAAAAATGTAAATTTAATCTATATTAAGTTTAATATTTTAATATTATTGAGGAAAAAAGAAAAAATACATATGTTATTCTATTCATTTTGTTTCTATTGAAATTACGTTGGAATAGACGTTAAAATTGACTGTTCTTAATTTAGTGATAGAATGGATACAAGTGTATACATTGTATTATGACATCCTGCAAAAGACAATACAACCACTCAGATTATAATACATAAGCACGCAGACATATTAAGATATATACACACACAAAAAAGGGACAAGACAAAAAATATTAGCACAACCTTTTACAATAAAAAAAAAAATATTTAAAACACACACATACACAATGAAATGTGCATGCATTTTACTATACACAGAGACTGCAAAAGATACGTACATATACCCACATACATTGATATAGACACTCTGATATAACACTATGTAATCAAACATATACTCACATACTGCTCTATAGTGCAGTACCAACTCCAGAAAGATTTCCACAAGCAATAATCATTTTGCAACTCTTTCCATTCAACAAATAGATGCTCCTACTTCAGTACTGACCTCTCAACTTCCAAACAGCTCAATAAAATTTGACACTTTCTTACCCTTTTGACATCTTACAGGAAATGACTCTACTCTGTTTTCCTGTAAGGTGGCAATTAACATATTTAACAGGAAACTAAAGCTGTTCTGGTTGAACTTTGGGAGACAAGAGTTTACACAGTTTCCTTCCTTAGCAAATATATCCACAAAGCTGCTTGATAATAACCTAGTAAAGTATGTTGATCATTTGAAGCAGTTGCATAATGATATGAAAACTTGCTTCTCTGATCTACTCCAAATGACAGTACTGCACTGGTTGTGGATCCCTTCATTGCTGAAGTTGATATCTCCCTACAAGAAAGTTTAATTGAACTTCAAAATAACACAGCATCTCAAGTGAGGTTCAAGTATAGAGGATATCAGAAGCTGTGAATGAATGAAGACATGCATAAGAATTACCCACTACTCTGGAAAGATGTGAAGTTGCTCTTATTCACTTTTCCCACATCTTACCTAGTTGAGTCTGGTTTCAGTTGGATGATCCCTCTGCTGTCAAAGACTCAAAATCTCCTTGACATAGAAAAAAGAGGCAATTTACATCTCTCTCTGATGGCTTTCAAGCCAAACATTGACAATTTGGCAGCCCTGCATCAGTCACAGGGATCCCATTGAAACCATACAAGATAGAGCTTATTGTGCATATATTTTTGTTTTATAAATAAATGAGTTTATCCAAATAGAATATTTATCCAAATAATATTATTCTTTGATTTACAACTGGTTAGTGTTTTGATGCCAAAGTACTATCCAAACTACAACCTTTAATATTCCTACTTCCCTAGATGTATCGAGGGACAGGGTGGGAGGGAGTAGGTGGGGTAAGAACTCAAGATGGCATGAGGGGCCATAAAGAACTCGCATTGAAGGGGGCCATGACCAAAATTAGGTTGAGAAACAATGAGTTAAACTAATAACAGATAAGAGAATTTAAAGATTAAGAAAACAGATCTATGATTGATTAATTACTATTATTATTATGACACGTTTAATCTAAAATATCATACTGTTGTTGTTCCAAGATACAATTAAATATCTAAGAACATTTTTAACACTGATAAAATTCTTCAGAAATGTATTTCCTACATTACTCAGCTGGTAATGTGCTTTCACAAAGAAAAAAAGGCAATGTTGATTTCTGTTTCTATCTCTAGTACAAGGCCAAGAATATGGAGCACCCAGTGAAGATCAAACTCGCTACTCAGTTGTAATTGATCTAGTGAGACAAGCTTGCTAACCATTACATTACATCAAAGTGAAGAAAGAATGTACAGGTATATGTCATTAATTGCTTCCAGAGATCACAACTTAGGTCAAAAAATGACTTAAGACAAAATAACCACACTATAAACTGCAAACAAGCACTCCCCATTGCATATTACAGTAATGATATGTATGTACAGTATTCTAAATAAAATAATTTATTAGCATTAGCAATGAAAGAATGGTTTGGCAATTTTTTCCAATATGATCCAGTTTCATCAATGTTAAAAATCTGTTCAAGAAGAAACCTGTTTTCTTTGATAATCTTAGCCAATGCTTTAGGAAAATCAGCTGCTGCTTGTTTGTCAGTTGATACACTTTCACCTTGCTACTTAATGGAGTGATAACTTCTTCAGTCTTTAAATCTCATAAACCAGCCATGACTCCCTTTAAACTCAACATCTTTCTCATCTGGGTATTTTTTGTTCAAGTCCTCAAACAAAGACAATGCTTTCACTTGAATGATTTCTTGACTAATAGCAGCACGCTGATGATTCAACCTATCAATCCAAAGAGAAAGAAGTTGTTCCATCTCCTCAAAGATTTTTCTTCTTTTCTTATTGATAACAGTATTCTTCATCCCTGGGGCATCAGATTTGATATGTGCCAAAATCTTATCCTTATTGTGAACAATTGTCGATACGGTTGTCCGACTCATTCCAAAAGATTGAGCAATGAATATAACCTTTACACCTTTTTCAAGGCATTTTATCATAGTAAGCTCTTATTGTCTAGCATTATAGCATGACACTTAGCCCTTGCACTAGGGATTTTCTTAGGAGCCATTGGGACAAAATATAAAGTCACAAATGAATGAGAATGAGAGAGTAAGCAATAAGCAGACATATACCATGTGTATGCCTAAACTAAACTGGATCTCAACTTCATGGGAATCACGAGTGGTGCTGACAGTGATGCCAAATGATAGATATTGGAACTTTCATGGAAAATGCCAATAATGAGCTCTTAAAGACCACTAAACAAGACAACACAGATGTTTTCATATTTTGTCCTCTAGGATTTATAATGATTATAGTAACATTTACTGTAAATGTATGTATTTTAATATGATTTTATATACTTTTATTCTTATTTATTGTACAGTAACATGATTTTATGTGCTTTTAATGCTTTTCTAGTGATATTACAACTTCAATATTTGTGGCAGAAAGACATAAAGTCAAATGAAATAACTTAAACTTGATTTTTATTTTTCCATATATTTTTTTGACAAACAGTCAAAGGATGACTGAACTTGACACAATGTAACCTGAAGTATACCTGTAATAAAATAGTAAAACAGTACACCATAATTTGTATTGTTTAGGTAGGTGTGTGTACATTTCCGTTTTTAACTATATATATAATATTTAAATAATCAGAACTTTGTTTTTATCTGCTTCATTTATTTTTGTTTTATTTATTTTGTTTACATTGCTTATTCCATTTGTTGGTCATATTCAATATGTTGAAAATAATTATAAATATTTTTTCATAATAATTATCAAACAGGGAGAACAAAAGGTTTAAGCGATCAAGTATTATCTCCCTTTAATTCATATATACATTTGTAATGTAGTTATCGTTCTTGCTAAAAAGAATTTTTCTTTTTTCTTTGTTTTAATTAGTATTTATTTCTTTATTGCATAATTATTATTTTTGTTCTCTTATCTTTATTGAATAAACACCTATTTTATAGTAAGTAAGCCTTCTGGTATAGGGGTTGAATATTCAAAAAAATATCTTAATCTTAAATTTTTGAAGATTGTAGTTATCAAAAAAGCAAGTAAACGGAAGATAGTTCTACAGACAGGAAGTGTGAGAAAAGAAATTGTAGTTAAATTTTGCAGATTAAGCCCTGGAAACCAATTGTAATGAAAATTTTCATTCTGGTGTAAATCTGCATTATTTAAAAAATAACAATAAAAGTTTGTGGAAGAAGTCTGTTTAGGAGTTACAACAATATAAATTTGGCCTTATTTGTGTCTAGCCCGGCCATCATTAATGTCGGTGTTTATATACGTTTGCCTCGAGTATTAATGCATGGAAGCTCAATTAGTCAACAGCATTTTTATTAATCTTCTTACTTGTCTTGATTACTGTGCAATTTGTGAAATTTAATTTAAAATGTGCAGACTTTGCTTAATCCAGGAATTTTAAAGATAATCCAACAGGAAAACATTATTCCTGGTGTAAAAAATCCTCCCTATTCCAAAAATAGCATTTTGGTTAACCAAAATTTAAACCAAAATAAGTGTTTAGACATTATAATTTATTTTTTTTTTTTGTAAACCAATTTAAGAAAGAATTCACTTTTACACTTTTATTTGTGAATGTGAAGCTTTAAATCGATTTTTTGCACGTTTTTCTTTTT